TCCATACCAGTGAATTAACCATAGCTGTTTAACTGCCGTCATATTTATTCCTGCTCACTAGCCTGCATGTTCACAGCAGGCTCCGCTGTGGGAGAGGAGCTGTGGAGCTAAATTTTTAGGGCTGCAGAAAGCAAGAGGGAGGGATCTGTAAGGAGTGTTTAAGTCCACAGTTTTCTCAAAACTCCTTTCTGCAACTTTAGGGGGGGGAAGCTATAGAAAGCAAACTATATTTGAAAAGGTGAATTCCCCAAAAGCACAATGAATGGTTGTGGAACCCCTCAAGTTTTTGTGACAATTGGCAAAAAGTCTTTTTCAATGTGGTGGAGAAGGACATGTGTTGCTTTTGGATATTTTTTAGCCTTTTTTGTGTTGTATGACAAGTTCTATTTAACATGTATTTTTATAGTTTGAATCAACGTTGAAAGTGGTAAGTAAAATAAATGCAATTTTCCGAAGAAAATAAAAATGAATTTCTGTTTTGTTAAAGCAGATTTTTCGAAATATCAAACAGAGCCAGAGCTCTTCACATACCTTTCTCCTTTAATAAATATAATCTTAGACAGACTGACTTTTCTTGTCTGAAATATTCAAAACACTTAAGATAGAAATATGTAAGGAGGAAAATACTTCTTAACAGCATCAGTTTTACTGGTGTACTTTTTTTTTTTTACTTTTTTTTTAATGGTAAAATAAACAGGTACCATTTTACAGCTGATAGAAGGGGAGGGGGGGATTCTGAAGAAATTAATGATATACTGATTTTGGAATTGAGATATTTTTTTCAAGGGGGGGTTTAGAAATAGGAACACCTCTGAATGGAGGATAGTAGCTCTGGAGAAGAAGTGGAGGGGGGAAAAGATGCTATCTGGAATTTCTCTTTAAAGGCAAGGCAAGGCAAGGCAAATTTATTCGTATAGCACTATTCAGTACAAATACAATGCAAAGTTTTTTACATTATTAAAATATAGGAAAATAAAACAGAATCAAAGCAAGTAGGGAAAAAAATAAAAAATGCAGAAACAAAAAAGAATATTAAAAACAGTTGGACTAAAGAAAATAAAAAAGTACCTCAATCCTCAGTCTTGTAAATTAAAACTGCTGCACTATAGGGATGTTAATTGGTTATACAGATTTCAAATCAAACCTGTAAACAATTATAACAAAAACTGACTACTGTGCCCTCAAGCTGAATGTAAGCTCAAACACACTTTTAGGTTTCTGTTTGACACTTGCCATTCCTGGTTCAGTATATGCTAACACACCCATCTCTGTCTGCCCTCTCTCCCTGTCCACTTCATCTTTATTCTGCTCTCTGGAGGTCTAAAATCCACAGGATCAGGTCAGGTGCAACTACAGGGCATCAGAGAATCAGGCTGTTGATGATGGATGATAGGAGTTCTCCTGAATGTGTGTGTGTGTGTGTGAGTGCACATTCAGTAGGATTCTCTATGCATTAAACTGACACACTCCCCTGATGTGAGGAAGTGAGGGGTGATAATGGGTGGTGTGGAATGAGGTTAAGCGCTTGCATGCCTTACATACATGTCTAAATTAAAAATCCCAATATAACCTCACAGTGGCACTGAAACAGAAAGGTTAAGCCTCTATTACCATATCGGTTAACTACGCAGAGCTAAAAACCATTTGGCTCCATCACCAAATGCCCCAAATGGACACTGTCTGCAGCAGGCGATTCAACTCATGCCAGGAAAAATAACAAGGGTGTGTTTATGTGCTTGGAGATGACACCTCTGCTCCTCCCCCATACTTTCCACAAACTGTGAAACTGCGATCCCCTTTTGCTTCACTTTAATGTTTACATACACAAACATAAAAGCATGCATGAACCAAAACACACATTTAGATGCATAATTACAGAATACACTACTTTGTAGGAGGCTTCTCCTGCAATGGAGGGAATTATTTTATAGCTGAGTGACTGCACCACCTGATCATAAGAGTAACTCTATTTATGTGATGCTCCTGATGATCTTTTATCAAGACACACCCATTATTTGGTGATAAAATCTGTGTTTCATAAAAGGAATGTCTCATACATTCGATTAACACTGCTCTCTGGAAAATGCTATTATTCTTTGGATTCCTTTAACTGCTATAAATAAAGAAATATATTTTTAGTCTATGTGAGATGTTTGATTTCCTGCTACATGTGTATTCAACCTGAATGGAGCCAAAATACAACATCAGCCCCCTCATGGGTTGTACTATGTTGCAAAGCCCAGGGAGATGCATGGGGTCGAGATAAACAAATAGGTCGGGTTTTGATTTGTGATCCAGCTGTGTAGTTGCCTCCATGTAGCCTGTCAGGTTGCTGAGGAGCACGGCTGGTTGCCTTTTCTTATTTGCTATTTGTGTGTTCATGTGTATGTATATTTTTTTGGCAGCGCACGGATGGATGATAGCCATCCTGACATTCTCCATATTGGCACAAATCTTTAGATATCTAGCGCTGCCTGCTCAGCCCTGTCTCTTGGACAATACAAACAATGGGTTTTTGGATATTTTCTCCTTGAAAAAAAATTCTTCTGCTAGACAATGTGCTTTGGACTGCGCAGGGTGCAACGTTATATAGGAGAGGGAGCAGACACGGATGGATGTGTTTATATGGATGCTTATTTCTGAATTGACAACGCTTCCAAGGTTTTAGATAGAAGACATTCTAAGAGAAATAAATCTGCTTAAATTTGCCTAACAGGGGAGTATATTTATAAAGAATTTACTGATGTTTAGTAACCAATAGAGAAAAATCTTAAAGCCTCTTAAGCTTTTGTTAGTAGTTAGCGGGACTTTTAAAACGACAACCACGGCCTCATTGTTAACTGTCTGCTCTATAGTTTATAGATACTTACCTTAACAATATTAAGACATACATGTGAGGCAATTCAAGCTTAACTAAGCTATGCTATTTTTTAGTGATCATCCCTCACCACTATAAATTGAAAGGACACATGTCAGCATCTCGCATTTTAGTCCTTCTCTCCATCAAAAATTGCTTCTCCTTGCTTCTCTTCTTTAAACCAACATGCATTAAAATTTAAGTGGAAAGGTGGCACTTTGTGGCATCAGTGCCTGGGGCTCTGAATAAATCAATGATGCTTAGGCAAACTATGCTTTAATTATAGATGGTTAAATGTAAAACTTCAGGCAAAGACACCATAGGGTGATGACACTACAACCTTTGGCAGATAAAGAGTATAACACTGATTTCCTGACCACAGAGCAATGTTATGCATATAGAACCCACTTTGACATGTCACACTTTACAAAAATTTTGTCAAATGTGTAATACAACAGTTGGATTCTATTATAACTTAGAATAACTTGTGCATTCTGTTAGAGTACTTCTTAACTTATCCTAATAAACATCTGAGAAAGAATTAAACCACATGAAGACACAGAGGACAGGTAGAAAACACACCTGGCACATGCAGCAAAGACGCTCTAACACACATTATTGTCCTTGAGGAGGAAAAAAAACCTTTGATTAGGCAGAAGGCAATAAAAACCAACCAGCCTAGCGAAAGACAGAATAAGGTCATGAAAAACAACAGCAGCGGAAACAGTGCAGAAGTCTTCAAATAAATGTAAAGCACAATATTGCTAAATTGTGTCTTTACTCCTTCGAGGTAAAGACAAAAAGGGTGTGAGAATATTAGACCTGTAGAGAAGCATAAATATAAAAATGAGGCAATATGTGACCTCATCTCTTATTTATCATGGGTGAAACCTTTTTGTGCTTTCTATAAAAGATTCAAAGATGTTTGAACATAAAAATAACATAAACATAAATTTCTATGTTCTTTTTTTACTTGTTTGTTTTCTTTAAAAAGAAAGAAACAATAAAAAACTATTTAAAAACACCCATTCATATTATGTCACTTTCATAGGCGGGATCTCCTTCAACTGCCATTTATCTTTATGTTCTAACCATATACCACTACAACTACATACCTTACCCTACCAACCGTTTTTAAATAGTCATCATCTGACAAATATTTGCATTTTTCTGAATAAAAGAAACTCTAGAAAAGAATAAATAGAAAAAAAATGAGGGGCAGAAATGTTCCTTTTTAAACTCAATAATGGTCCAGCTCTTTAAATTGTCCCTGCATCCACATATATAGACCCAAAGACTCAATGCCTAATGACACAACAATAGACCCCTAAGCAACATTATCTGGGTGGGCCCCATATGAAGTACAACACACCATCCCCTACACGCCCCCCTTCACTAACACATTGTACATAACAGTTATGGTTTTAATCTACGCTCTGGGTTACCCATTAAATCAAAGTTGTAGTGTAAAAAAATAAAATACAAATTCTTTTAAGATCTTTATTGCGGTTTGATACATATTATAGGAGTGTATTTTTTACCAACCGTCTAATGAACTATACACAGTTATTAACATAGTAGTTAAAAGTACCACTGTCTGCTTTGCTATTCGTGTGGGGTTTAAATGGCTCACCACCCTGTGGAAATCTGCCATGTATTGGAGTATAAATATGGTTCGGTCAGTTAATTTAATACCGGGTGGTTTTAAGAGGAATTTTTGCACCATTAGGGGGCCAAACAGTTATCAGTGACGGGGCCCCTAAGAGGTCAGGAGCCCCTAAGCAACTGCAGTCTCTGCTTACTGATGGTTATTGCAACTAATTAAATGATTGAACTATGCAGTTATCAACAAACTTATTGTTGCGTCTTTATCAAAAATAATAATCACTTATGCTTCACCTATGCAAGTTTAAAAAAAAATTTATCTCAAAAAGCTGGGATTGTGTCAGTTTAATGCATAGAGAAGCTTATTGTTTTTGGTTAAAAACAATCCTAAATATGATAACAACAACTTTAAATAACAGCTTGCTCAAGAACATTGAATTAAGCCGCTGAATTTGTTTGCGTCTACTGAAGTCAGAGAAAAACCCGAACAAAGTCCGCTAGGAAAGAGTGAGATGCTCCAGGAGCGGAGCGCTCTTACCGTCCACAGCCATAGTGGGTCTGAGCGTGTATCTCTCCGTGGTGTCAGCAGGACTCCCTCATTCTCCCTTAGAAAAAAAAATAAAATGTAGGTTACTGTGGGAGAGGATGAAGCGCGCCTTTGGCCCCGTTTTCCCCTCTATGTGAGCATGGAGGCAGCACTTTGAGCAGCCTAGCTGAAAATAAAACAAACTCGCCTCCACCGCTGATCTCCGTCGGCTCACGGCCATTTATTGTTCGGGAAGTCAGGAGCGGTCCGACAGGAGGCTGCTCCTCCTTTGGCTCCGCCCCCCCCCCTCTCGCCGTACCTGACCGCCGGGAGACAAAAAGGTCATCCCGCCCCGACGGCAGCTGTTCCAGCTTTACACAGGAGACGCAGCAACCCGTCTGTCCCTTCCGCTGGAAACAAACACACATTTGCATAGAACCACTAATTGCTTTAAAGTGGCACCTGTCATAGGTCTGTTGCAAGGGATCAGTTGTTTACTTTAAATCTACCAAAACAGACAAAAAAATAAATAAACAAAAATACATAATCCTAATCTTTTACTACGCAAAAATTGATACATTTTAGGTAGGAAAAATCCTACCTTATATTATTTAGCTTCTTATTTATTAGGTGTAACAACACAACCATAGGCCCCTTAAGCAACATTATCTGGGTGGGCACAATATGAAGTACAACACCTCTGGATTACACATAATTCCAAGTTGTAGCGTGAAAAAATAAAATACTCAAATACATTGTTCTTTTAACATCTTTATTGCAGTTTGAAACATATAGGAGTGTACAGGTGCTGGTCATAAAATTAGAATATCATGAAAAAGTAGATTGATTTCAGTAATTCCATTTAAAAAGTGAAACTTGTATATTATATTCATACATTACATACAAACTCATATATTTCAGATGTTTATTTTGTTTAATTTTGATGATTACAAATGACAACAAATGAAAATCTCAAATTCATCATATCAGAAAATTAGAATATTGTGAAAAGGTTCAAAATTGATGGCCCCTGGTGCCACACTCTAATCAGCTAATTAACTCAAACCACCTGCAAAAGCCTTTAAATGGTCTTTCAGTCTAGTTCTATAGGCTACACAATCATGGGGAAGACTGCTGACTTGACAGTTGTCCAAAAGACGACCATCGACACCTTGCACAAGGAGGGCAAGACACAAAAGGTCATCGCTAAAGAGGCTGGCTGTTCACAGAGCTCAGTGTCCAAGCACATTAATAGAGAGGCGAAGGGAAGGAAAAGATGTGGTCGAAAAAAGTGTACAAGCAAGAGAGATAACCGCACCCTGGAGAGGATTGTGAAACAAAACCCATTCAAAAATGTGGGGGAGATTCACAAAGAGTGGACTGCAGCTGGAGTGAGTGCTTCAAGAACCACCACACACAGACGTATGAAAGACATGGGTTTCTGCTGTCGCATTCCTTGTGTCAAGCCACTCTTGAACCACAGACAGCGTCAGAAGCGTCTTGCCTGGGCTAAAGAGAAACAGGACTGGACTGCTGGTGAGTGGTCCAAAGTCATGTTCTCTGATGAAAGTAAATTTTGCATTTCCTTTGGAAATCAAGGTCCCAGAGTCTGGAGGAAAAGAAGAGAGGCACTTCACCCACGTTGCTTGAAGTCCAGTGTAAAGTTTCCACAGTCAGTGATGGTTTGGGGTGCCATGTCATCTGCTGGTGTTGGTCCATTGTGTTTTCTGAGGTCCAGGGTCAACGCAGCCACATACCAGGAAGTTTTAGAGCACTTCATGCTTCCTGCAGCTGACCAACTTTTTGGAGATGCAGATTTCATTTTCCAACAGGACTTGGCACCTGCACACAGTGCCAAAGCTACCAGTACCTGGTTGAAGGACCATGGTATCCCTGTTCTTAATTGGCCAGCAAACTCTCCTGACCTTAACCCCATAGAAAATCTATGGGGTATTGTGAAGAAGAAGATGCAATACACCAGACCCAACAATTCAGAAGAGCTAAAAGCCACTATTAGAGCAACCTGGGCTATCATAACACCTGAGCAGTGCCACAGACTGATCGACTCCATGCCACGCCGCATTGCTGCAGTAATACAGGCCAAAGGAGGCCCAACTAAATACTGAGTGCTGTACATGCTCATACTTTTCATGTTCATACTTTTCAGTTGGCCAACATTTCTAGAAATCCTTTGTTTTTATTGGTCTTCAGTAATATTCTAATTTTCTGATATGATGAATTTGAGATTTTCATTTGTTGTCATTTGTAATCATCAAAATTAAACAAAATAAACATCTGAAATATATGAGTTTGTATGTAATGTATGAATATAATATACAAGTTTCACTTTTTAAATGGAATTACTGAAATCAATCTACTTTTTCATGATATTCTAATTTTATGACCAGCACCTGTATTTTTACCAACCGTCTGATGAACTACACACAGTTATTAACATAGTAATTAAAAGTACCACTGTCGGCTTTGCTATCAGTGTTGTGTTTAAACGACTCACCATTATGTTGAAATCTGCCATGTGAAGCAGACTGAAAATGTTTTATCCTTATCTCCCTTCTATCTCCTCTTTCTTTCATCTTTTCTTCTTTTTTTCTGTTTTTCCTCTTCTGGTCTACTTACATTGTAGTGTCCATATAATCTGTAATACTCCCTGCATAATTATAATAAAGCTATTTATATGCATAAATCAAGCAGAACAGTATGGCGATAGCCCTACTGCTCCACTTGTGAAAGGAAAATCTGTTGGGCTCTTTTTGGCATCAAGACAATTATTCTTATTGCCACACTGCCAGACAGGACACTGTAAAAAGAAAAAAAAAAGAAGAAGATGCGTGAGTTTATTACACCTTGATATTGGATGCCAGTTGCTCGGCAGATCTGATGTTTTTCCATAAGAGTTTATCTAATTAAAACAGTTCCTGTGGCTGGATAAACAGTTATAATCTTCATTCTGTAAGTGGCAAAGATTTAGAAATGGAATGAGAGCGGTGTCCTTCAACTAAGAACGAAGTTCTTGATAAGGTTGGAGCCATGGATGTCTAATTATCTGCTAATGTGTATGATGTAAAATATGATGATGTGGCAGACTGGAGATGTTTAAAATGCCTTTTTAACTGTTAATCGGGGCCACTTCCTGAGAGGTGAGCCCAGAGGTGAGCAGCTGCCTTCTGTACATTGTAAGCAATTTCTCTGATCTGAGTAAGAATACAATTTATATCAGAATCTATTGTCATGTCTCCTGGTTATTTAATACATATAAGTTATGAAGTGTTATTTAAAGAGTTTGTCCCGATTCATCTCTTTTCAGGGAAAAGAACCAGAGAGATAGAGCATCAATATGCATACACAGAGTCTATCGTTAACAAATGGTGTTTCCGCCCGGCAACCCATCCCCGTGGAGAGCAGTGGGCTGCCATTGTGCGGTGCCTGAAGAGCAGTGTGGGATTAAGGGTCTTGCCCAGGGACCCAGAGCCTGTGGGGATCGAACCGGGTAGTTGCAGTGTGTTTATCACCATACAGCTGGAGCTTAAAGTGCCATCATACACCTGCTTCAACAAACCCACCATCACTGTAAGGATCATGTTCTTTAATTTATCCTGTGCATTTCCAAATATTCATATTCCTTTGTCTAAACCTGGTAAACTGCTGTGTGTTAAAACAGTCAACTCCTCCCAGATGGGAATAAAATAAAGGAGAGGGTTTCAGGAAAAAAAAAGAAATAAGGTCAAAAGTATAACCATCATGGGAAGAACTTAATACTCAGTATTCAGTTAGACTGGAGTTTAGATGCAACCTTCGCTATACATCTGCAAGAAGTGAAGCTTCTTCCATGTTTGCAATGAAATGCTGCAGATCTTCTAACAGTCTGTTGTGGTAAATTTGATATCGTCTGCCATCATCTGTTGGAGAATCAGCATAAGAGCAAATTACATAAAGGAGCTCAACAAGCTAATAAGGACGGTCGGCTTCGTTCTGGGAAATCCATCAAAACCTCTGGAGATAATTTAAAAAAGAAAAGAGAAAAAGAAAGAAAAACATGAAATAGAATAGAACAGGAAAAAAAGTACTTTATTAAATAATACCCAAATATAATTGTTGCAACATCATATAAGCTTTTTTGAAGGTTTGTTCTTTTACCTCTAGGACAAAAAATTACCTAAAGAGGCTACTTTAACTTAACAAGGTAAAAATGCCCATCCATGAAACTGACTGATTTGTTTTTGTTAGTCTGAGAAACACTGAGTGCCATCTAATGGATCAATGGGTCTCTGTGATTTTTTTTCTTATCAGAAATAAAAATACGAAACAGGAAATTAACTGGCAGGCTCATCTAAAAATCCAGCTATTTATTAAGGAAATATCAAGTTGTCAGTTATTTGGCCTTTGTTTTTACTTTATAGAAAATAAAACATAATCGAGCTGTGAATATGGCTTTGGCAGAATAATCTGAAATCATTACAGCTTATTCAGCATGCATCTGCATGGTTAGAAGGCACTTCTCTGCACCAACGGTTTAATTCTTCTTTTTTCGTAGAACAACGAAGCAACCCTGAAAGACTACGTAAAAAGATGTGCACCCTCCCCTGAGCCCAGGAACCTTATAATCAAAACAGGAACAAAGCACTGCCTGGTCTATCAGGGCTTCACCAGAGTGCCTGCTGATCGGAGGAAAGAGCTCTAAATGCACACTCACACACATTCACACTTAATGTTAAAAATGCACATCAAGACCAAAACCCCTTGTAGTCACAGATAAAACTTAATTCAAAAGTGTGATTCTGGGTGCTTGTAAAGACATTTAGTTGTGTTAAAAATTGAAGAGAGGGGGGTCAGCGTGGTGAATAATGAATAGAATGGGACCTGCAGAGATAAAGGGACTCACTAAGCTGTGGCTTATAGTTTCAGGTTACACAGAAGCAGCAGTTTTAGTATGAGCAAGTCCTGTAGAAAGAAACCCAGAAATAATATATGGCAGTGCGGGTGAAGAATAAGAGAGTAGTGGATAATGGAAGATTAAAATTTGCCATTTAAATATTGATATTTAACTCAGGAGATTCTCCTTGGAATTTTTTAAAGCATCTTTCTAACCCTAACGCTTAGACATGTTTGACAGCATTCTCTTTTACTATGGTCTGAAATTCATTACCATTAATAGGATTTGACTTTGACATGACTGAGGTTGATTGGAATAAACCAGAAAGGTCTGATTTGAAGTTTGTACCACATAAAAGGCTTTTATATGGAG